GAAATGAGAGATGGCGAGTCTCCCTTAGTGGTACGAAGATTTGCATAAAATTGACGTATAAGATTTGGACAAAAGAATTCATACGTCAAATGGATGAAACAAAGCAAACCTTGCTGAGAGAAAAGAGACTTACTCGGGGCATAGGTCGCCGATTTGAAGAGGTCCTTGTCCACAATCTTGGGTGAGACGATCTCCTTCGTGAGAAAGCTGTTGTGGAACCTCTCGGCTGAAGCTCCAGTGTTGAAGGCGAGTCCGGTTTGGATGTGGATGTACTTGCTCCCTTCATGACGTCATGGCCTCTCACCTTCTTCTACCGCCGATTCTTGACGCGATGAAGCGTTCTTGCACCTTGGCATCTTTCTTCTTTGAAATTGATGAAATTTGGTGAGAAAATGGAAGAAATTTGAGAAATTTCGGATGAAGTTTGAGAAAATCGGAGAAGGAAAAGAGCTAGGGTTTGGAGCTTCTGCGATTTGTAAAAGAGGATATGGCGAAGAAGACGAAATCAGGGCTGATTTTAAGAGACAGGAAATTGGATAATAATCGATTAAATAAATTGAATTAATCGATTAGTAGGCACAGCCGGCTCTGATCGATTTACGAACAAGAGTTAATCGATTAAAAAAATTGAATCAGATGCCAAGGAATTTGTGCTGAGGATATTAAAAAATGACTGTTAATCGATTAAGCTGGACAGAGGCAACTAATCGACTCCTCTTCGAGGAGTAATCGATTAAAACAAATTTGACAAAAAAAATCATCAAGTCCAAATCGGTTTGGTACCAAGGGAGATGCCTGAAACAACAAGCCCTGCAAAAAAGATTTTACAGCGCCTCAACCGCTCAAATGAGTATAGTCAATAACAAGAATGAATTAGTTCATAGAGATATCCAAAATGCCAAGTTCGTTCCGAAATTGGAAGAAACTCTCCCTACTAAAGGGTTTCGTGAAAATGTCCGCCAATTGATGTTTCATTTCAACAAACTCAATTGTGACATCTCCCTTTTGGACGTGATCTCGTATGAAGTGATGCCTAATTTCTATGTGTTTAGTTCTCGAGTGAAGAACGGGGTTCTTCGTTAGACTAATAGCGCTCATATTGTCACACCTAATTGGGATGTGATCAAGTATAAGGCCGAAATCCACTAGTTGCTGTTTTAGCCAAAGAATTTGGGCACAACAACTTCCCGCAGCGACATATTCCGCTTCGGTGGTGGATAGTGCAACACTAGCCTGTTTCTTACTAAACCACGAGATTAATGAATGACCGAATAAGTGGCAAGTACTGCTGGTACTTTTACTATCGAGTTTGCAACCTGCAAAATCCGAGTCGGAATAGCCAACAAGATGACATGTCGAACCTTTGGGATACCAAAGACCTATGTTCAACGTGCCCGCGAGATATCGCATTATCCTTTTGATCGCAACCAAGTGCGACTCTTTAGGACATGATTGATACCTAGCGCATATACAAACGGAGTACATGATATCCGGTCTACTCGCGGTAAGATAAAGTAAAGAGCGATCATACCTCTGTACCGCTTGATGTCTACCTCTTTACCTTTTTGTCCTTGTCGAGATAGCAAGAGTTGCTCATCGGTGTGTCAATAGATTTGGATTCGGTAACGTCGAATCTCTTAAGCAATTCCCTGCAATATTTCGTTTGACACATGAATGTTCCTTCTTTGCATTGTCTAAATTGCAGCCCAAGGAAGAACTTTAATTCTCCCATCATCGACATTATAAATTCGCTTTGCATCATATCGGAAAAATCCCTGCACAAAACCTCGTTAGTAGCACCGAATATGATATCATCTACGTAAACTTGAACCAAAAGGATGTCTTGGTTATCTTTCTTGATGAAAAGAGTAGTGTTGAGTTGACCCCGTTTGAACTCATGGTCCAAAAGAAATTTGCTTAACCGTTCATACCAAGCACGAGGTGCTTGTTTAAGACTGTAAAGCACCTTTTTGAGTTTGAAGACATGTTCGGGAAACTCATAGTCTTCGAAACCCGGGTGTTGTTCGACATACACTTCCTCTTGAATGGTACCATTAAGGAAGGCACTTTTAATATCCATTTGATAAAGTTTAAAATCCATCGTAGATGCAAAAGCAAGTAATAAACGAATAGCTTCTAAACGTGCAACCGGTGCATAGGTTTCTTCATAATCAATGCCTTCTTCTTGATTGTAGCCTTTAGCTACAAGCCTAGCTTTGTTTCTAGTGATTACTCCATTTTCGTCGAGTTTGTTACGAAACACCCATTTTGTGCCAATAACGGAATGATCATTGGGTCTAGGCACCAATTCCCAAACATCATTGTGTTTAAATTGGTTAAGCTCCTCTTGCATTGCCAGAGACCAATGTTCATCATTAATAGCATCCAAAACGATTGTTGGTTCAATTTGAGAAACAAAGGCCATGTGATTAATTGTGTTCCTAAGAGAATTATGAGTAGAAACTCCCTGCATTATGCCACCAATAACGTTGTCAATCGGGTGATTCTTCAACGTTCTCCACTCGTTAGGAAGCTCCGTTTGCTCCTGCGTTTTCTCTTCTTCCGGTTCCTTTTCCTTAACGATTTCTTCTTCATCGTCATAAGAACCTGTAACATTTTCAAAAACACCTTTTCTCGCCAAGCGAGCATCAAATTCATCGAAAACAACATGAATAGACTCTTCTACGGTCTTAGTACGCTTGTTGAACACTCTATATGCCTTACTACGAAGAGAATAACCTAAGAAAATTCCTTCATCCGACTTAGCATCAAATTTTCCCAAATTATCTTTTCCATTATTATGAATAAAAACTTTACATCCAAAGACATGGAAATAGGAAAGGTTAGGCTTTCTTCCTTCGTAAAGTTCGTAGGGCGTTTTCTTGAGTATCGGTCTAATGACGGCTCAGTTTAACACGTAGTGTTGGAACACACTTTGTACGTCAAACTAAAGTCGTGTTCATTTCTGACAGGTTTTGATAATTGCCAAACCGCCGTGGATATGAAGAGTTTCGTTGAATAACTCAAGGCGTGAAAAATGGCTTGGAACAAGACCTAAAAGACTCAAGGACAAGATCAAGAATTGAAGACTTAGTCGAGTCGGTCTTTTGTGATCAAAACCGACAATTTATTCAAGTCTCGGTTCTCAAAAAGTCAAAACAATTTTTACAAACCATAAAACATTTTTTTGTGCATCAAAACAAACATTTTTTTTATGACTTCTTTTAATGATAAAAATCCCTGGTCCTTGCTCAGAACCAAAACCACCTAAGTCGGCGTTCGGCTTCGGCGTTTGGTTTTCGGTTTTTGGCGCCCGAACCAACTCCGTGGTTTTCAATATTTTAAACCATGTTTTTATCTCTGAGCATATTTTAAAGGTTCCCGAATAATCATTTTATAAAAACCACTTTTGTATCTTGGTCAATCGGTCTAACACGTGAAAAACGGTCAAAACCAT